GGGGGGGGGGGGGGGGGGGGGGGGGGGGAGTGGTCACATGATGCTATGCTTGATACCCATGATGCTTCGCGATCACAGAGAAACAAATAAGTACGTTAGACAGTTAATAAAGATTTCGAAATAAATGCCATCCACACCCAAAAACTGCACAGTGAATTAAAAATTAGATGTGTTTTTGAACTCATTAGAGAAGCCTGTCCTGATAAACAAAGATGAGAAAAATCAGATAATCAAAGAATCATTTGAACTAAACTTGACCTCAGATTGTCTTTTTGGGTTGGACGTTCGAATCGATAACACTAACAATACACTCTTATTGAATTACATTTACCTCTTTACCCTCTTAAACTGACCAAACAGTGATTTCACGTGTGAATGTGGCATCTCTACCACTGTCAGGAGTTCACCATGGGCTACAATGTGCTTAAAGGCCACAGTTTCCTCCACCTCAACATTCTTTTGTCTGTCCCTTTAATCACAGCAGCCAGACCGCAGTGTCATCCTGAAGACTCAATCACCTGCTACAATATTCTGAAAGACCTCCCCAAAGTGGGTGTGGCCAAACAGAATTCATAGGGGCTGGTTTACTCTCCACTGCAACCCAAACAACAGTCCAAAATATTGTTTATTAACCACCGATAGGAAAGACTCTCACATCCTAAAAACACACTCATAGAAAATACTGGAAAAATAAAATACATTGAATTGAATCACCTAAAAAACATTAAACCCTAATGTATTTATAAAGCGGTATGCCTGCTGGAATACAGGTTTGTTGACAAGGAGAGAGCTCCTCACAGGCTCGCATCTGCGCGAAGGCTGCATGCGGCGTCACGGGAAGCGGAGACCCACCTGGACGGTGCGGGCCGCCAGCCTCATGCTCAGGAAGCGGCTCCTCTCCTGCACGGCGCGGAAGCGGCGCTGGAGGGCGACGATGCGCCGCAGGGCCTCCTGGTGCAGGAGCTCCTGTAGCCGCTGGCGCTCTGCTTCCCGCAGGAACACCTGGACAGGGGGTCACAGGCGTGGACATGCTTTCATGGTGCCCAAAATCTCTGGCAAAACCCCCGGTGAAGACCATCCCCTCCTCAAATAAGTAACATCGGCTCCATACGGGGAGAACTAGCCCACGGTTTCACACAGAATGATGGAACAGACTCAAGAAGGTCGACAAAGAGAACTGAAGAAAGAGAGAGGGAAGAGAAATAAAGAAGAAGGAGATGAAGACCAAGACCCTACCATGGTCCTGCCCACTTGACAGCCATCTGGTGCCAGGTCCACTTGCCGCACAAATTCACTAATGCTCTGCTGGATGGGACTGGAGCCGTAAGGCAGGAGCAGATGGAAATGATGGACAAAGTCCTGGAGAACAAACAGGAGCATTGCTGAAGAGGGAGCTTCTGGTGTGGGGTGGGAGATGGGGAACCTGCAGATGCATCAGTTGGACACGAGGGGGCGCACCTGGTGGCTGTACTTGATGCTGTACCCTGACTGGCGGATGCGCACGGTCTCAAGCATGCCGGTGTAGCGCAGCTGCCTCAGGACCAGGGTGTCGTTGAAACGCAGCGGCAACTGCGAGAATAGAGGAGAGGAAGAAGGAGAGAGACAGCGGTTGCATCAGGAGAATCGGGGCAGGTCAAGGTGCAAGTATCATCAGGGGAGGAGGCCAAAGATTTGGTACTTCTCATATTGGTAGAAACCATAGTATTAAGAAAACACACGATACAGGCATCAATACAAGCCCAGAGCAGAATGTCTGACGTCCAAAGAGCCCGGCTCAAGCACCAACACATTCATCGTTTACGGCAGGTTGCATCTGCTCCTCAGCTCCAGGCGAGACACCAACCTTCTCAGCGTTGGAGCGGATGCACTTCACAAAGTATGGCTCAGACTGTCCCAAAGTCTCCATCAGCTTGTTCAGAGAAGCCTGAAAGCAGAGCGAGACGAGAGTGAGGCGGACACCCACAAGGCTTCAAAAGAGGAATAAAATCAGGGTCAGACTTCAGCAGAACTTCCTGCTGGAGTCACTTTCTAGCTGCGAGGGAGGATGAACTTTTTATGTACAACTGTATTTTTATATTAATACCTTTGTCATCCTTAAGCTATAAAAGCTGCTTGACAGAGCAAAGGAGGTCAGCCCTGCTCTGATCTGTAATGACTTCCTGTTCGCTGCCTTAGGGGCCTTACGGTGTCTCCCCCCACATGCACATAATTCAACACATATACTTGCATAAATAAAACCACACAACAAACCAAGGAGGACCGATGTCACTAAAGACAATGCGGAGTTGAGATGGAGGGCAGGTCATTACCATCAAAGGCAGGAAATATACACCAATTGCAGGCATTTTCTATGGACTGGGTCAACGTGTTTTGGGGCAAAAAAATCAATAATGATTGAGAAACAACATTAGAAGCAGTGGTTACTGATTTGTGCCGGGACTGGGGTGGCTGGCTGGCAAGGTGAGGCCCCTCCAGTGATTAGGCACCATATTTGTTTGTGATTAAGCGAGATTAGAAAAGTCTGTGCAGATGCATTAATTTAGTGTAACTGGCAGAAGATAAGCAGCATGGGGTCGCCGCATGAGACGCATGTTCCTCAGACGAGCTCACTGGCACCTTCCAGTGCCCCCATTCCCACCCAAACCAAACCAAAATAACCCCAGTTTAATGACCTAAGTGAAATGTGTAGGTCATGAAACTTTTCCTGCTTATAAAAACAGACAGACATGACGACATTGGCGCAACGAGGGCGGAGAGCCCTGGTTACAGTGAGGGTGGCACAGCTGTCTGAGCAGAGAGGGCTGGGGGAAAGTGGGCAAGGCCAGTGATGTGATGTGGGGCAGACTGGGGCACATGAGAGATCAGCACATGTGTGTGAATGGAGACCAGTGTGCCTGAGTGAATGGAGTAACCAGCACACCTGTGTGAAGGGAGAGACCAGCCTGTCTGCATGAATAGAGAGACCATCGCATCTTTGTGAATGGAGAGATCAGCCTGTCTGCATGAATAGAGAGACCATCGCATCTTTGTGAATGGAGAGATCAGCTTGCCAGTGAATGGAGAGACCAGGACGCCCATTTGACCTGAGAGGCCAGCAGAGGGCGTGACTCTAACCTGAAATTGTGCACTGATGCTGGGCGGCTTCTTCTTCTTGTGCAGGTGCAGCAGGGATTTGGTGATGCGGTCATGCAGCGTCAGACTGCTCAGGTACCTGAGGGACTTAATGTCCAGCAGATGCTGCAAGAGGAGGAGACAAACAGAGAATGCCACCTGTGATCCCAGCCCTGATTTCAGCATTAACCTGCGTCAGTCCACCATGTTTCACATGTCTAAGGACGTACCTTTGGAAGGCTGGGCTTCGCCTTGTAGTTCTTATTCCGCCTGTGGGAGGGAAATAAGAGATGCAGGCCATTGATGTTGAGTGTGAAAAGCTCAGTAGTGGTGCGAGTGTGTTTGTGCGTATGCTGGTGCGTATGCCGGTGTGAGGACACCCACATGAGGATGCCATGGGCCCTTTCCAAGATCTTGCTGCTGCTGGAATTGACCATGACACCGTCTTCATCCAGAGACGGGCTCACGGACGAGGAAAGCCAAGCCGACCTGCTGCCACGCACATTCCACCCCCCACTGCTGTTGTCCTGCCCCCTGGTGGCGGGAAAGAAAACTCACAGTCACACCTCTATGCCAGAGGGATTCCAGTTCAGCAGCAAGCATTACATACAACTGCTAGAGGGCACTACAGCTCTTTGCAGTGTCACTACTACTGTTTGTTTATGAGGCCAGTGATGTTACCTGAAGGGATTTACCAAAAGCTTTAATAACGTTCACACAGGTAAACAAAAAAAAAACAACCATATAAATAACCGTCACAACAAAAAGCATGATATCTTTATCATTAACAGAAGTCTAATCACTGTGTTCAGTATAGAAACAAGTGCCTTTCTGTGTTATACAAACTAATATCAATTATAACAGCTGTGCTGAAACACAGGGCCCCATGCCTACAGGAAAGAGGAGTAACACCCAGTCCTGATAAGGGCACAAAGTTACCTCAAAACGCCAAACTATGACCTAGCATACTGAGCTGAGGTGATGATTGGACCCTCAAAAGTCACAAATGTGACAGGGCAGTTATAGGCCCCCAGCAGGTCCAGGAACAGACCCCGGTGAAGGCCTGTACCTGTATATAAAGGACCGCCTTGAAAATCCCAGTAATCCAGGGTTTTTGAGTCTCCTCCCTACAATGAAGTAACGACCGACACTATCTGTCAAGTTAATTTTGTCAGAAGCATTCCCCCGTCCATGAGTTTTTTAAGCAGAAACTTGTTTACTGGATTAACTACATTATTAATCTCAACAGGCCAACTTGGATTCAGTAGGATTGTCCTGCGGGGGAAATGTCACAGCTAGTGCCACCACACAAGCCTACGGCGAGGGCCGGTGCCGCCCCCCCTGTGGAAAATACGCCTAATGAAGCCGTAACTGTTCAATCACTAGGAGACGTGCTTCAGGGCTCTGAGAAGACCTCGAGTAAAGGAGGGAGCTTTGAGGTACTTGGGAACCACAAAAGAGCTGATCTTCCTGCAGTCATAGACCAGTGCAGGCCTAGGGGTGGGGGGCAGCATGTTATTGTCCCCCTATTCAGCTGGACTTCTGCCACCCTGCTCTGGTCCCTAGACACTCGTTCCATTTCAGAATCAGTGTTTACATGGAAAAGTGTACCAGCGAGCAGGAAGAGAGTCACTGGACTCCACCTCACCTGATAATGGGAATCACCCAGACGCGAAACTTCTGGAAAGCTCTCAGCCCATTGCCATAAGTCCCAGATAGTCAGAAAGCACCCTCGTCCACAAGACGCTTTGGCTTCACTTACAATGACTGACCAAAGCTGGTGATACCAGGATCAGACTATGTGGGATGTAAAGGGGATCTCAGAGTGCCCAGACTGTGAGTGTCACTAAGGGCCACCATGTCAGTCTGTCATACACACACCTACACACATTTGTATTCATACTGTATATTCATATCATTATGGGGACTCTGCATTCATTTCTATAGGCATAACCCTTGTCCCAACTATGACAACCTAAACCCCTACCCAGCCCTAACCTTAACCATAAGTAACCTAATAAAATACAAGACTTTTGGCATTTTAGTTGCATTTGATTGCAGTCACAGATTTTTATAAAATTATAAAATCCCCTTGTGGGGAGCAAAAAAATGATCCCCACGACATCAAATTAACAGGTTTTTATCACATTGTGGAGACAATTTGTGTATATGTATACCTGAATACCTGGACCCCACACACACACACACACACACACACACACACACACAAACACACACACACACACATACCAGTGAGACTTCTCGTTTAGCGTATTGGAACCCTGAAGGTCTGACAGGGGTGTCCGAGGACTCTTCCGGCCGATACCTGTCCCAACAAAGAGAACGCGGTGGTCATAAAATGTACAGCACACATGTAGACCAGCCCACAGGACATGCTGAAACAACAGAGTCCCCATGACATCACTTCCTCTGGAAGCAGTTGATGGCCAGCTAATGCTGGGCTGTGCATAAATAAGCATCAAACAGAACAGCATTTGTAGGCAGGGATGTCCAGACATTGCTGCTAATTAGCCCAGCAGAGATGTCTGCTCATTTCAGAGCATAAATATCTATATGCTCAGAATATAAACCCAGCTTTGTTTTTAAGACTTTTGGGAAGTTTGGGGAGACTCTATCCTGAGACCCTCAAGCAACATGCTGCTTCGCTGAATCTGCTTGAGGGACATTACTGCACAAGCAGGAATGAGCATGTATACCTAGCACTGGTGTTTATCACCACCCAAACCATGCATTTGTATTGGGCCCTCAAGGTTTGGGGCCCCCTGTTGGCCACAAACAATCACTACACTAGGGGGGTGGTGGACTCCAAAGTGACTTCTTGACTTTCTTCCCTAGAAACAACAAACCCACCCTTGCATATACCATCTATGTCCATTCATCTTAACCAAAAGCTGGTAGAGACTTGCCCCAAGGATGAGCACCATCTTCGCTCCAGTGCATGAATTGTTTCCCTTCAATTTGTAAAGGCTCAGTAATTTAAACCACGGGCTGGAAAGCAGACTGACCCCCAGAGTGATACAGATATGGATTAAAACCAGGCCCCATTGCTGAAGCCATCTAACAGGCCACGCTTTGGAATAGCCTGAGGCCGAGGACTGATCATAGCTGCTGCCAAAAACTGCAGGAACAACCGATACGGGAAGTTCTCTGAGCGTTGATCCTCCTGCATGGGAAACACGAACTGGCTGCAGGAGAAACCCTTACATATCTGATACCATCATCAGCGCCGCAGACTGGATTTGGCCAGCGGGGTCAGAGATACCAAACACAGACATCACAGACGGCCACTGAAACCAACTGACCAAAAACCTGGGCTCAATGGAATACAAGCCGGTAGATAATGTGCCTTATATATACAAATTTAATGTTGACCAAGTGCATGTGCCGTAGAATATGATGAGCTTCTAGAGGCAGGGCTTACTGGGGCAGATGGAAAGTTACAGATCACTGCCCTCCAAGTCTGTATCAGTGGAAAGCCAACTATTGTGAGAGGAACAAATTCCTTGTGTTTGTGGTGAATTACAATGAGGGATTTATCACTCAGTGAAGCGGCTTTTACATAACTGAAGCCGCTAAATTAGAGGCCTACGATGAAGAAATCCAGCAGGAAACCGAAATTCACTTAATGTACGATCGGTTTGGCTGAACAATAGTCAGTCACCAAGCGACCAAGCTGATACGAAAATGCTCATCCAGACCAACCGAGGGAACAAGGGATTATGGGAATAGTAGTCTTACTGTGCCTCTCTTCTTTGCACCTCTGCAGGATCTCTAAGCTTCTTTGGTGCACGGGGTGAAGGAGAAAGCTAAAGTTATCCACGCTCTTCAAGATGGCACAAGGAGCTGCATCATCTCGTCCTGGGGGGGAATGGCAAACATATAGGAAGAGAAGATGAGAGTTCATATGAAGAACTAGAGGTTCTGCAACATTCAGTGAAGACCAACTGAGTGAACTGAACCCAACTAGAACTGTCTAGCTCACTCCCAAACATGACTGCAACAGTCTGGAAGATCAGAAAAGCTTAATAAGAGTTTGAGATCAGAAGCAAGGGTAAGGAATCATGACCAATGTACAGAGATCAGAACAACTAATGCTGAACTCAAACATTATTAAGTTGACTGCAGGTTAAACAAAACCTGAGGTGAGAATTATTTTTGCTTTGGTAATATAATAGAAATGTAATGTACCTTGAATTAGCATTTCTTAGTGAACCCCCAAGTGGCAGCAGTTACTGTTGTGATTTAAAATATATTTATACGTACAAAGACCTCCCCTAGTGGAAACTCTTGCAGAACCTTCAAAGGGTTTCAAATGTGTTTCTGGACAGTGGACTGTGTGTACATTACTTAGCAAAAGTTCCTCTAGTTTGTGTAAGAATTATGACACACTGCATCAGAAGTAGTGCAAACAGATAAACTGGTAAATAAGAGGCAAAACCCCTTTGGAACCAGTAACGTCCAGTGGGTTGGGAAGGGGGCGCTGTGTGACTCGGAGGGTTTGGATGCTGTTCTTGTGATTGGTAGGTTGCCGGTTCAAATCCCAGGGTCAGCAGAGTGATGTCACTGTTGCGCCCCTGAGCAAGGCCCTTAACCCCCAACAGTCTGACCCTGCTTTCTCAAAAAAACAAATGTATGAGGCTCTGGATAAAATGTAAGAGGTGTAGCAGAACAATACAAGGTCATATAAATGACCCACCTATATACTGTCCTGCTACAACATAGGTGGTGACTGAGATGTTAGTCTCATCTGGGCTGCTGAATTTTGCCAAATATATCTATTTCCTGTGAACTTGTATGGTAAAGGCAAATCAGCAGAGGTGGATCAGGAGCAAGTGGCTTAATTAAACACATGGATGAGAGTAGACAAGCGCATGGACACTTAACATGGTCGCTTTTCCCTAGTGTAGCTGAGAAAGTGTGGATTTGTTCTGTGGAATGGAGATGGAGACATTTTTTAAAGCGGGGACGTGCGATTGGACACCCCACGGCTCTCAGTGAGGTCTCAACCAAATGAACACAGATGCCGCTTCCCTTTAGCGGTTAGCATCATGTGAAAACAATCCACCGGCATACGAGCCAAACTGCAGTGAAGGCAACTGTCAACATTTTACAAGAAACAGTCCAACACCAGCACAAACAAGCTGAAAATCTCAGCCTGGATTGTTGGAAGTGTGTTACTACCACAGCACCCCCACTGAGGGAAAGACCACGCTGAGGGCCAGCACTTACCACCCTTCTTTTCTTTGTGTCTCCTTCCCGCCTCTCGGAAGGCCACGGTGGCTCGGAAGTATGTACGCAGCACGGCCCAGCGGAAGGTGGCCACGGGGTCGATGCCGATCAGGCCGCCAATGAAGGCGCTCCGGCTGCTCCTCAGCAGGGCCACGATATCGGGCCGCATGTGGTCGGTGTTCTTCTCCCTGAAATCCTACGTGAGGAATGGCGGACGATACAGGACATTATGCTGAGAACACAGACACAGAGCTCCAATGCGGCTGAGGCTCCTCAAAAGGTCCCGATCATTCAAAATTGGCAACAGCATGACTACTGAGTCAAGCCAGATCCTGAACGAGGCCTTCTCAGGAATCAGGGCTGGAGAACATGGCACATGGTAGATGCCATATCTGAAGAACGTAGCTCAGTGTTTCTCAACCCAATGCTCAGAGACCCCCAGAAAGTCTTCATTTTTGCCTTCTTGCAGGTCCCAGCACACCTGTACCAAACAATGCTGAACACGGAATACCTGGTACAGGTCTGCTAGCAGCTGGGAAGGTACAAAAATGTCCCAGAGGTTCGGGCTGAGAAACACTGATGCAGTAAATATGACAGCTCTTCATGAAGTCCAATACATTGTGGTCAATCAGTAGGAGTATTGGATGGGTTTACATAGACAGGAGTCGTGTGAAAAGTCCAGCAAGATGCCAATTCAGTATCAAGCCCTCTGGGCAAAATAGATAACAGCATGATGGGTGGTTGACAACCTGCACCAGTTCTAAAGTATCTGGGCTGGTTACAAAAACTACCTCCCACAACATCCACAGACAAGCTGAAATCCATCCAATCTGGCCAACACTCAAGGACAAAAAAAAAAAAATGAGTTGACAAAATCAGTGTGCCAGAAAAATGTCTTATTAGTTACAGTGATAGATGTGCTAATATTACATGATGCTGGATCATGAAACCCCCTCACTGAATCTGATTTAGCTATTCCAAACAAAAAGTTCCAATATACGTCATCGCGATTCCTGCGGCTGTCTTACCTTGACCCCGTACTTGACTTTCCCAGCATAGTGACGGATGATGAATGCAGGTTCCATAACAGCTGGGAACTCGATGTAGCTGTTTCCCTCATGCAGACGCTTAAATTTGTCCAGCAGAGTCTGGTTTGAGGCCTGTGGGAAGCTGTAACACAAGGGAGGGATGAGCCGTTAGCATTAGCAGCTATATTCATGCATAGGGACCCCCCCCACCCATCACTGTCCAAGAACGCTGATGGCAATCAGCCAATCACATAACAGAACATCTTACCAAACAGCACCTTAAAGAAACAGCCGAATACTGTGTATCTTTTTTATACTGCCTACTTCCTGTGACCAAGATGGTATCATTCTAACTATAATGATGACCATGCTTGCCATGCTAACTAGTGCCTCGTGTAACTGTTTGCAATAAACAAGAAGTGCAGGAATCATAAACGTACGGAGCTTTGTTGAAACATTAATAGCCATTAGCCTAGCGGTCCTACGCACAAATAACAGAGAGCAGGCCGGTGTGAGAGGCCTTTAGTGACCCTGCGCATTGTCAAAACAGCCCATCCTTCATGGGGAGGGTTATTACAACCACATGAGCATGCAGAGTGGCCGGGACCACCAGGAGGGACAGCGAGGGCGGGGGGGGG